ACACACACACACACAGACACAGACACAGACACATACACACAAACACGCAAACTAATTGGTATCAGTGTATCAAAGAGCTCACCGTCCGTCGTACATTGAAGTGATGCTATGTTTTTGCTGGAATGAACAACAGTGGTGAATTCACAATGTAATTTGTAAGATTTTACTTGAAAGCTGTTGCATCAGTAAAGATGACATGAAACAGTAGGTCAAGAAACGAGGATTCTTGAATAACCGTGGAAGATACAGCTGGACAATTGACAGCAAAGTAACTGGGAACTTTACTTTCCGAAAATCGCTGCTTCTTTTTTAGTGATTGTTATTTGCGCTGTATTTTTTGCGGTATTTCCAAATGTGTTGCCAAAAAAAATTTTTTTTTTCTTTTTCGTTTCTAAATCGGGTATTTCGTATTTGAAGTTGTTGTTAATTGTTGCTGGTGTCGGGTATTTCGTATTTGAAGTTGTTGTTAATTGTTGCTGGTGATAGTTGTTTGCAGAAAGTGAAAAAAAAAGATTTTTTTTTAAACATTATCAAATTTTGTTGATATATCAATTTATTCTTCTGTTAGTTAGCGTTTTTCTCCTTCTTTTATGCCTTTTTTTCCCTCTTTTTTTTTTCCTCTTTGACTGCACCAGTTTCTAGTTGATTTTAAGAAGGAATTTTGTGGAAGATGCAGTATTGCAATGACATTCGTATGCTGACGCGTATTCAACTGTTGTTATTGAAATGAATAACTTTTTTTTTACAAATTATTTTCAGTAATCATTTTCATGAAGCTGAAAAACAAAATTTTTATAGAATTTTTTGTAATGTGATTTATTGAGGTTGCAAATTTTATTAATGGGCGATACAGACTTTATTATCGCACTTTTTTTTCTCATCTCATTTTCGCATAATATCAAGGCTTTGGTGTTGACTTATCGCATCGTTTCTATCATTACCGTGTTGTTTTTTCTCCCGATTTATCAGTCGACTTTTGGAAGTGAAATCTACTTTCTTGAATTATCTAGACACGTATAAATGTTGTACTAATTGCCAAAATGATCTGATTGCAGCTTGGTTTGCATTTCTGTATCTCGGCATTAGTTGTTGAGAAAAACTTTTGGGCAGTAATAAAATAATGCCTAAGGAACGAATTTTGCAAGCTTTTGTTTTCTTGAAGAAGATTATGTCTAACCGCGTGTGAAATTAGGCTGTGTTTTCACGTTGACCACCGCTTCCTTAAAACTGAGGACTTCATTGTTCAATCAGTTGATGGTAGATAAGAAAAAAACTTTGATTTTTTGTGTACTGGCTGAAAATATCATAAAATTTCGGCAGTTTGAGGCAAAACGGAGGTAGTGTTAATAGAAGTTAAATCGGAAAATCTTTGGGTTTTTTCGATTGTTTTTTTGAAAGTAATTTATTGGTCTCATAGAATTTTGATTTTTTGAAATGTTTCGGTAGTACCATTGTCAATTGCCCGGGTCTGATTGATTGGATTCTTGCGTGTTCCATTTGTGTATTATATTTAAGCAATTTTTTCCTTAGAACACACGATGTTTTTCACTAGGTTCATTTTCAGGATTCCTATCTCTCGTGCATATTCTAGCGATGGCAGATTGGGGTGAGTTGTTTGAGGTTCTGTCAGCATTACTTGACTTCTCACACTGACCAAGTTCACCTGAGTTTGAACTGTTTTAAAATGCAATAACAGTATCATATGACTTTTTGCGTTTTGAATATGGTTAGGAGGTTATTATAAACGGATGCCAGAGAAATGCATCTTATTGGATAGATTTGTATAATCTTAATTTTGATTCAAGTTTTATTAAAAAAGCGTAAAATTTGATTGGCTCGCACCTTTCCAGTGGTTTGTCGAAACAGTTTATTGAGTGAGATTTTATTACGTTTAGTACAGTGTGGAAGAATTTTGTGTTTTTTATAGGATTTTTCAGACGACGATAGTTTCGAGGTTGATATAAAACAAATTGATGAAAAGAAAATTAATGTTATTGAGGAATTCCCTGATGAACACCCAGCGGAGACAGTAAGTCTAATTGTTGCAACTAAAGTTTTTATTTTATATATGTTGAAAGGAGTTGTGTTCTTAGACATGCTTCAACAAAAAATGATTTGTTCTTGTATTTTTAAATGATTAAAAAATTTTCTGGCTCTTTTTAGAGTGCTACTGTTGTTTTCTCTTGCATTACTTTTGGGAGCATTAAGTGTACTTAAAAAGCCACTTTGCACGAATTATAAAATTTTTAACTGATCTTTTACTGTAGGTACCAAAAACTACGAAAACTCATGTAACACACACGAAATCTAAAGGAAAAAATGCCTTAAAGACATTCAGCGGTGACTTGGATCGAGAATTAACAGAAAGTGAGAAAATTGCTATGCAGAGGAAAAGTGATCTTTCATTTGCGCGAGAACTGTTTGGTAAGTTTATAACTTTAATGTGGCATTTCGTCAACAGTTTTAGAGGAACGTCATTATAACTGCAATTCCAGAACTATTCAGGCGTCTCTATCACTCTTCTTGTCGTTTATTGTAATTGTGGATCGTTACAAATTAGTTAGATAGGTTCCGTGATTAGTGAGAGTGAGACTTGATTACATGTTGTTTTTTGCTTAATCGGTTAATTAACAGTTAAGCCTTTTTGTTTCTAAAGCTTTATTAGGCTTTTTAATATAGTGGTTACCTGAGAAGAATGAAGTATGTACGTTTCAAACTTTATTACTGACATTCAGTTTTTACGCAGTGAATCGTAAGAAGGCTTCATCTTAGAAGTTTTTTATTTGCTATGCAGGTGTTTTGTTTTTAATAACTGATTTATGCTAGGTGAGGAAGAAGAAGCAGATCTGTCGGAGTTATCCTCTCCAAGTGACTTCAGGAATTTTGGGGAGGAAATAGGCGAAAAATTGGCAGGAAGAGCTGGAAGCGCGTATTACGTCGATATGCTTGCAGCTCTGTTGAAAACCGCCACTGTGTCAAGTAAGAACATAAGCACTTTTAGTGAGGCGCTCTAGAAGATTGACCTAGAAATCATAACTTTGCAAAATTTTGAAAGTTCGTAAGTTGATAACCATCAAATCAGTTGGTTTGTCGTTCTTTCTAGTTACACACTTTTTTAAATGACTCTTGTTGCAATAGATCCAAAATTATTTGTTTAGGTTATGAGTTAAACTTTATATGTCTTCCGAAAACTTTTGACTTAATCATTTTTTTATCTATTTATAGTGGAATCCAGTAAGGTTAGGACACTCAGTAATCTACTGAAAACTTTAGCAGATGAAAAGTCAACAAAGGAGAAGGAAGAAAAGGTTTTTCGTTTGCTCGATTGATTTCATTTTCATATTACCACTATAATTTTTGGGGCAAACGGAAGCTTTTTTTGAAGGGTTCTTTTGAAATGTTTCTCTACATTTTTATCTCTTTTTTTTGGTGATTCTGAGTCATTGCTGATTGGTGAAGACAGACGAGAAAGTAGTGTAAGCCAAATTTCGATTTCCCCTTTAAGGCGATTAGTAGTAATGCTGGAATTTTGTCAAGTATTTTCAAACAGTTTATCTCGCAGGTTCTTGTACGGTAATGAGGTCTGGAACTTTCAGAGACCAAAAGGTAAAGGAGGATCAAATAAGCCTTCGTTAAAAGGATTGCAGAAGTCGAATAAAATTAATATTGATGAGTATCGTGATTACGAGTATACCGATGATTTCGATATTGAAGATGACTTTATGTGAATTTTGCTTTGACGGTTTCCTTGCCCTTAATTTTTATTAAATAATATCTTGATTGGGCGTTTGATTCGGTCAGATTTTGTATTTGGTTTCTTGTCTGTTACGGTGGCGCTACAGAAGACGATTGGGCAGTAAGGTCTTTCAGTCGTGATAATGTTAGTCTTTCAGCAGGCGTCTAGAAGTCAAGGGCAGAATTTTTTTTGGTACTGGTCGAAGATTTTGACTTTTGACATTTGTGCTTCACTTTACCGAAATACCCACTCGTTATTTGTTGCTATGCACTTTTACGAAATTGTTTTTTATGACTTCATTCTTTTTTTCTTTTTTCTTTTTCCAAACCTTGGAAATTTTTGAGTTGTTTCTCTGCAATTCAATCCTTTTTAGCACAAATTGCAGCAAATCGTTTTTGTCCTAAATTTTCAAAGGAATTGTTTGATAGAGAAAACTGGAAGATTTGCAGCATTATGGCCTTTTTGGTTGAAATAGGGGTTGTATAAAGCATTGTCTTTTGTTGTAATATGTTTCCTGTTGTTATTGCAAAATTTTTCAAATGTTGCAAAAGATTCTGGATTATAAATAAACTTTATCACGATGTTTTGCAGCATTTCTTTTTGGAAGGTTAAAGTTAAATAAGGAAAAAACATTACTTGCTTTTCGAAACAGTCGAAAGGAACTTTTTAATTAGCTGACATTTAGATGTGCAAATAAAAATGAGATTAATGGCTTCTTCAGTCCTCTACTATGTTTCAGTCCAGCTGCCAGTGTTAGAATGTTGAAGACGGTATAGTTAAACAGTGATTAACAGCTCTTGTCATGTTGACATGAGATAATTCACTGAAAAAAGTGCTTAATTTTTAAATTTCAAATTTTTCTTGCTATAACTTAAGACTGCTCTTGGACTTGTTGAAAAAGTCCAATTCAAGGATGTTTTTTAATACAGTTGAATTTACTGCTCGTTTGCGGAAATTTTCACGGATGGTAATGTTGCAATGTTTTAAGTATAAAACCTCTATTTGACAATATACCTATTTCTTCAGAAAAGTGGCACTGAACAGGTTGTATGGTAATCGTTTTTAATTTTTAAACTTACTTTTTTGGCAGTTTAGTTGTTTCTCGCTTGCTGTTAATCGTTCAGATGTAAATGTTTATTGCGGCTCTACACCTACTTCAGTAGCATTGAAAGAGTAAAAAGTTTTGTGAGAAGTAAGTCGGCTTTTGTGAAGTTCGTGGAAGCGAAATTATTTGACTTGAAAAAGCCTCGGGAATAGGTTACATTTAAGTAGTCGATAAAAATGAATTTTTGGAGGAATTGTATGTTCTCTGGAGTTCTTTGAACTGCTAACAGGTCACGCTTAGAAGTTGCCAGAAGTATCTGCTTACCGTAGAAAGCAAAGGGTAGCATCATTTTTGTGAATGTGCTGAGGATTAGGTGAAGAAAATCAGGTAATTTTTTTTTTCTTCTTTT